GCCCGGGAGAGGGCGGTGATGGCCGGGAGCTCCGGGCGGCACATGAAGGGCTTCCTTAAGGAGCTGCTAGCGGGCTCCCCGGGAGGCAAAGTGACCACCAGCCAGGAGAGGAGGGGGAAGCGGGAAGGAAGAACCTTGGAGATGACGCTCCTCCCCCCCCTCCACCCCCGCCCATCGCACACCCTTTGACCCCAGTGCTCCCTGTTGGTGCCTTGGCAGGGGCCGAGGTGGTTTTGTTCATTTTGTGTTGGTTTTTAAAGTAGCTGGGAGAGAGGCTGGGGTTGGGGGAGTCCGCTTCCTCCCGGGGCGAGTGGTGCCCTGTCCCGTGGCCACAGGCTGTCAGTCTGCCCAGCGACTAAAGGTGGGACACGCTGCTCCTTTTTCTCAGGCGCCCGGCCGCTGCAGCCCCTCTGCCTCGGGCTCTGCAGGGACGTAATCCGGGTCCCTCTGGCCCCTGGTACCTCCTGCTGGGTGGGAAACAGGAGTGTCCAGCTGAGGCTGTCTGACCAGGACGGGCTGCGGCGTCTCACCCACCATGGAGATGCCCCAGGCAGCGAACAGCAGCCCTGGCCCTGCAGTTTGCTTGTGCTGGAGCTGAGGTGGGAAGGCCCATGGCCTGCAGGGTGCCTTTTGGATCAGCAAAGACACGTGGTGAGAGGCCGCGGGGCCGCAGTGAGGGGGGTGGCCGTCCTGTTGGGACTGACAGTTGGGCACGGGATGGTTTGGAGCAGGGCTGGCATGATGTGGGACAGGGCAGGTGCCCATAAATGGGTTTCATTCATCAGTCTTGTTTCTCCTCTGTGGTGCTGCCTTGTTATTTACACTCTTACTGAATTATTTAATTTGAAGTTTCCTGTATTTGTGTCTCAGGTGGGAATTCTGTCTCAGAGTTCTTTATAATCCTCAACAGAATGTATCATGGATCTTAGAAATACCTGCTTATTGAATAACAAGCTTTCTCCTCATTTGTCACCTTGTAACTGAGCTCAGCGTGAACTCGGGCCGCTCCTGCCTAACCAGGAGCCAGGCATTTCAGGAGCAATAGAAATGCAGCCTCCAAAGATCTTCAGTCCTGCCCTCTGGCCAGTCCTGCTCAAGGTCATCTGCAAGGTCACAGCCAGAGCCACGCGCACCAGTCAGGACTTTCTCCCAACTGATGGTCCAATAGGTATGATATCCTTACTGTGTAAATATTTTACACTTTATTATGAAAAGACCAGAGCTACAAGGACATTATCTGTCATCTGTCTACTCTCCCTTCCCGCCTCTGCTCAATCAGTAATAGGTGAAAGAGCTTTAATAAATTGGAGAAAAAAATCCAGAAAACATACAGATGAAATACTCGTGGGGGGAGGAGGGTCAGAATCTGGGGTGAAGTGGGGGGCAGTAGAGAAGATGAGTGAGTGGCTTTCAGTGGAAGAGACAGGAAAATGAACGCTGGGTGGAGAACACCATCGAGGAAGGTCTGGGGTGGGTGTCAGTGGATGAGAGCGCAGGCCCAAGTCAATCCCTGTGCCCACCACAGCCCAGCAAGCCAGGCCTGCAGGTGCCCACACAGACACTTAGAAAAACTAAGGGGGTTGGGAGGAAGAGGGAAGAACCATCTCAGTGAGAGATGTTTATGATCTTTTTTGTAATTTTTATTTCTGCTGGGAATGGAGAGAGTGGAGAAGAAAATAAATCATCCTTTCCTCTTGGATCCTTTTTTATTTCTTCATTTAAAAAAGAAAAGAAAAGGGTCAGACCCTGGAAACAGAGACAGGCCTGTTCACACACTCTAAGTGACAGCAAGTGGAAATGATAGATTGGTCCTGAAACCCAGGGCTCTGTCTCAGTCTGCCCTCTCATCTGACAAGACAGATCTGGGCATTGCCCTCTGAGGCTCCCAAACTTCCTCACCTGCCCTGCCCCACCCAGCACCCAATGCCCTGTATTGGCTCCCACCCCAAGCGTCCATCAAACACTTTCATTCTCAGATCATCATCTTCCACAGAGAACACTTGCTGCTATTACTGGTTCTTTCTTTTCTGTCTCCCAAGCTCACATCCTTCTTGCTTATCACCCACTCCCTTGACCATTCTCAATAAGAACACGGCAGATGAAGGGTTGATGCTGTTAACTGTCAGGACTTTGCCCTTCTGGTGTCCAGGAAATAGGAACAGTGAGTCCAATTCCTCCTCCAGGAGGGGGTAGGGCATGGAAGAACTGGGGGTGGGCGCTTTCTAGAAGATCATCGCGGGGAAGGAATCTGGCCCACACCAAGCGTCTGCTGCTCCATCAGGTAGACGGGGTAAGAATTGGGGCCGCCATCCTCCTCTGGGTCATTGTCCTCATGGTTGTGGACCAGTGCACCCCGTGTTCGAGTCATGTAGGAGACCTGGGATTGGGGGGAGAGAGGAGGAGTGAGTATCATCTGCCATGCCATTTGCTTCCTCAACACCCCTGCTCAGCTCTTTTCTATTCCCTGATCCTGACCTTATGCTTGTTTCTTTTCCAAGATTCCATCCAAACTTGATCCTTATTGCAGCCTCTGATCCAATAGAGTCCCAGATCTCTTCTCTAATTCCTTCTTCTGTCCTATTTCCCTTGTTCTATCAAATTTTGCCTCCTCTACACCCTTTTTGCTTATCCACAGCCTTCCCCCCATTTCTATATTTTGTGTCCCGTGCATCTATTGTCTTTCCTCATAATTTTCACCACCACTGCCCCTCTATTGCCATCCTCCCCCACCATGATTCTTCTGCTAGACTCGTTGCCCCCTCTAGTTCTGATCCATAACCTCTCCTCAGTTCCCTCGCCAATGGGTCCATCCCAGTGGAGCATCCCTGTTCCTTACCAGGAAGATCAGGCCAAGGAACACCAAGAGGAGAATCACAGCCACCAGGACCACAATAACTATGGCCCATGCGGGGAATGAAGCACTGTCCCCCATCTCTCCCACATGGAGACCTCCCTGGGCACCATCTTTGTTCTGGTATGCTTGGCTCTGGTTGACTGGGGCTTCTGACATGATAGAACTCAGTTTCATGCTGGAAGTGGGGAGGGTAGACGAGCCAGTGGGCACCTGACCAGTTTTATTTGGACCAGGAGTGGAAGAACTGATAGATTTGTCTCCTGTGACCTTGACTGGAGGCCTTGTAGTCTCTGTGGCAGCTGTGGTTCTTCCTGAGTTTTCTGTATGCTCTGCTGGGATTGGTGTGGCCCTCCCTTTGGTAGATGTGGTCTTCTTTGTGTGTACTACAGCCTGCCCTGAGGCTCCTGTGGTTGGCTCTGTGGCTGCTGTACTGTGTTGCCCATGGTCTGTAGGCATTGCTGGGGCTCTTGTGATCTTCCCATGGGCCAATGTGCTCTGTTGAACAAGGGTCGATATGCTGTGTTTAACATGGGCCGATGTGCTGTGTTGATCATGGTCTGTAGGCATTGCTGAGACTCTTGTGATCTTCTCATGGGCCGATGTGCTATTTAACATGTGGGCTGATGTGCTGTGTTGATCATGTTCTGTAGGCATTTCTGGGGCTCTTGTGATCTTCTCATGGGTTGATGTGCTGTGTTGAACATGGGCTGATGTGCTGTGTTGATCATGGTCTGTAGGCATTGCTGAGACTCTTGTGATCTTCTCATGGGCCGATGTGCTGTGTTGAACATGGGCTGATGTGCTGTGTTGATCATGGTCTGTAGGCATTGCTGAGGCTCTTGTGATCTTCTCATGGGCTGATGTGCTGTGTTGAACATAGGCCAAGGTGCTCTGTTGAACATGGGCTGATGTGCTGTGTTGATCATAGGCCAAGGTGCTCTGTTGAACATGGGCTGATGTGCTGTGTTGATCATAGGCCAAGGTGCTCTGTTGAACATGGGCTGATGTGCTGTGTTGATCATAGGCCAAGGTGCTCTGTTGAACATGGGCTGATGTGCTGTGTTGATCATAGGCCAAGGTGCTCTGTTGAACATGGGCTGATGTGCTGTGTTGATCATAGGCCGATGTGCTGTGTTTAACATGGGCTGATGTGCTGTGTTGATCATGGTCTGTAGGCATTGCTGAGGCTCTTGTGATCTTCTCATGAGCTGATGTGCTGTGTTGGTCATAGGCCAAGGTGCTCTGTGGAACATGGGCCGATGTGCTGTGTTGATCATGGTCTGTAGGCATTGCTGAGGCTCTTGTGATCTTCTCATGAGCTGATGTGCTGTGTTGGTCATAGGCCAAGGTGCTCTGTGGAACATGGGCCGATGTGCTGTGTTGATCATGGTCTGTAGGCATTGCTGAGGCTCTTGTGATCTTCTCATGAGCTGATGTGCTGTGTTGGTCATAGGCCAAGGTGCTCTGTGGAACATGGGCCGATGTGCTGTGTTGATCATGGTCTGTAGGCATTGCTGAGGCTCTTGTGATCTTCTCATGAGCTGATGTGCTGTGTTGGTCATAGGCCAAGGTGCTCTGTGGAACATGGGCCGATGTGCTGTGTTGATCATGGTCTGTAGGCATTGCTGAGGCTCTTGTGATCTTCTCATGAGCTGATGTGCTGTGTTGGTCATAGGCCAAGGTGCTCTGTGGAACATGGGCCGATGTGCTGTGTTGATCATGGTCTGTAGGCATTGCTGAGGCTCTTGTGATCTTCTCATGAGCTGATGTGCTGTGTTGGTCATAGGCCAAGGTGCTCTGTGGAACATGGGCCGATGTGCTGTGTTGATCATGGTCTGTAGGCATTGCTGAGGCTCTTGTGATCTTCTCATGAGCTGATGTGCTGTGTTGGTCATAGGCCAAGGTGCTCTGTGGAACATGGGCCGATGTGCTGTGTTGATCATGGTCTGTAGGCATTGCTGAGGCTCTTGTGATCTTCTCATGAGCTGATGTGCTGTGTTGGTCATAGGCCAAGGTGCTCTGTGGAACATGGGCCGATGTGCTGTGTTGATCATGGTCTGTAGGCATTGCTGAGGCTCTTGTGATCTTCTCATGAGCTGATGTGCTGTGTTGGTCATAGGCCAAGGTGCTCTGTGGAACATGGGCCGATGTGCTGTGTTGATCATGGTCTGTAGGCATTGCTGAGGCTCTTGTGATCTTCTCATGAGCTGATGTGCTGTGTTGGTCATAGGCCAAGGTGCTCTGTGGAACATGGGCCGATGTGCTGTGTTGATCATGGTCTGTAGGCATTGCTGAGGCTCTTGTGATCTTCTCATGGGCCGATGTGCTGTGTTGAACATGGGCCGATGTGCTGTGTTGTTCATGTTTTGTAGGTATTGGTGAGGTTCTTGTGATCTTCCCATGGGCCGATGTGCTGTGTTGTCTGTGGTCTGTAGGCATCAGTAGGGCTCTTGTAGTCTTCACATGGGTTGAAATTTTGTCTTTTGCTTGGTCTGTAGTCTTTATCAGAGTCTTATCTGAGGCAACTATAGTTGTGTAACTATTAGCTACTGTATGATCCTCAACAATTTCTTTTCCTTCTGTGGTACCTGTTGCCTTAAATGATGCCTTATATGTTGTGCTTTTTTCTGAGGAAGATGTGGGTTTTTTGTCGATCTCTGAATTGACTGAATGGTAGGAAAGAGTTATGGTACTTTTACTGTCTAAGGTAATGATGGTATTTTCCAAAGGTGCAGTTTTGGGGTGATTTCTCGTTCCTGTTGCTGTGCTGGTTTTGGAGGTATGACATGTTGTTTTGCTCTTGGGTTTTGGGGTTGGATAGTTTGCATTGGACAATTTTTTATGTGTGATATCAGATTTAGCAGAGCGTCCATTTCGGACAATTGGGTCTTTTCCTTGATTGCTAGGGTTTTGTTCAGAAGTGGGAGGAGCTTCATGATGCTTTGTAGAGTTTTTGGAGTTATCTATTGGCTTGTGAATTGGCCTGAAATTGTGTGTGGCATTGCAATGGTGTTTGGGCTGATGGGTTTCTGTAGATTTAGGGTGGTCTGGACTACTATGTCCTAAATGAAGAGCATTGTGGTGAGAGGGAATACTATAAACAAGGTTTGGAGTAGGAGGGGATAAATGGTCAGATGTTGGGGATTCACCAGTATTCTGAAGTTCTTGAAGTGTGGTAGCACCTGTAAAGGGAGAGAGTCAAGTAAGAAACTTTCTCCATGTTCTTTCCTGTTTTGCTGCCCACCTCCATCTCTAGGGGTCCGTTTATTACCCCAGATATATCTCCCCACCCAGTCACCTCAGAAAACTATGATATCTAATCCCCATCCTCACCTCCAGTCTCTGAACCTGTTTTCAGGTTGTGCCTTCAGCAAGAACGTTACCTTCCCCCTTCTCCACCTCTACTCCCCAATTCTGAAGTTTAGATCTTTCTAGCTTTATAGCATTTTTCCTGATCCTTTCAAGCAGATAAGATCTAGCTTCACCTCAGTGCTAAAACTTTTTGTGAATTACTCACCTTGCCACGCTAGTTGAGTGTGCCTATCCACCTCTCCCACTGCCCTGCCTATCAAACCATAAATTTGAGAACAGATACTGATGGGCATTTTGCTGCACACATGCTCCTTGAGGGTTTATATGGTACTTATGGAATGGAGTTCCCTTTCCATGGCCGAGCTGAGAAGAAAGGTAATAAATATCAGAATCTTTGTTTTTCCATAACATTCCAGGTCCATCCCAAATGTAACAGCATGAGAGGCTGAGGTCAGACTCTGGCAGAAATTCCCACAAGTATTAGTAAGTAAGCACAGGTGATGAGTGAGAGAAGGATTTAAAAAGGAATGGAGGGAAGTTTCATCTTGATGACAGTTTGGTCTGGGCGAAGGGAAGTAGAAGAGATGGCTCAACCTCTAGTTCCTTCACTGGAGGCTCCTCTTAGAAGCTCACAGTGGAAGCCTCTGGGAAGATGAAGGTAGCACTCTTTAAGGAAAAGATATCTGCTCAGGGTCCTGAGAGGAGTGAGAGAGGCAGCTGGATTCTGGGAGAAGCTGACTATGTTTAAGGACAGGGTGTGAGGGAAAACACCCTATCAATGAACAGATATGGGCCTTAATTCCATGAAAAGCAACCATGGGGACAGAGGAGATGTCTCTGAGTGAGAGCCAGGAGATCGCCAAGGAATGAGAGATAGTGTTGTTACATAACCGAGATTTCCAGCTCTGTTAGCTCAAGGTGGCAACCAGAACCTGGACCCATTCCCAGTCATGGGAAGCCACAGTCCACCCAGCTCCCCACTGACAAGGACAGTTGCGGGCTGGGGAACTCAGTCCTTGAAAGAAATGTGGGTGGGAGGAGAAGGGGGAGGTAGAGAAGCCCAAGTCCCTGAAGGGAGTGGAGGCTGGGGCGCGAGAGGAGGGCTGGACAGTCAGGCCATCCCCTCACTGTACCGGCCCCTTCTCCCACTCCCTCGGCTGCCATGGCCCTTGTTTGCTGGGCACCTTCTCGGGGCCAGGCCTCCGCGCTTGCCTCACAGACATTCTCTGTCTGGATTCTCCTCCGATTTCCCAGCTCCCCTCAAGGCACCTTAGGAGCTGTCTACTTCCCTATTCACAGCCAAGAAACTTGAATGTCGTGGAGAAATGGTGACTTTCACACGATCCCTGACAACAGCAATGGCCAATCTTTTTTTTTTAAAATCCTCGCCCAAGGATATATTTTCATTGATTTGAGAGGGAGGGAAAAGGGGAGAGAGAGAGAGAGAGAGAGAGAGAGAGAGAGAGAGAGAGAAAGGGAGACATCGATCTGCTGCCTCCCATACGCACCCCAACTTGAGAGCAAACCCACCTAGGAATCAGACCCACAACCTTTTGGTGTCCGGGATGATGCGCAACCAACTGAGCCACCTGGCCGGGCACCAACCTTTACTTGACCATCGACTGTGAAACAGGCAGGCCCTACACATGAGTACATGTACTAACTCATTTACTTTTCACAACAACCCTTTGTTACTCTCCCCTTTTTATATATGAGCAAACAAGGGGGTTAAGTAATCTCCCCAAGAACCCTCAGCAAGTAAGAGGTTGCGCCAGAATGGAATCCATTCCGGGCTCCTGGCGCCCAGGCCACGCTCGCACCTGTAGGTCAGCCTAGTCCAGGGGGCAGGACGAGTGCAGCCCTCAGGGGGAACCTGAGGATGCTGTTCTGCTATTTGCTTATTTCATCTTCACCACAACCCTGTGAGGCAGGCGCGTGACTTTGTGGTCTGGCAGCGAAGGAAGGAGGTTCAAAGAGATTAAGTAATTGGCAAAGTCAGGCTGCTCCCTATACCCCAGGTGCTTCCAAAGGAGATGAGGGTGGATAAATGCCGGAGCAGTGGGTGAACAAGAGGGCGCGGCACAGCGCGGCAACCCCACCGCCCCCCCCCACGCCGAGCC